CGACCATGGTGATACCAGAGTATCAGAAACACGTGACCCTTTATGTTACAAGGGTAGTCGGAATAACAGGCTTTTTGGTCGCGCAGCACAAGATGGGAGTCCTCTACCCCCTGCCCAGTGTACTGAAAATGAGCGGTTTTGACCGTGCCACCCAGTACTTACCAGCATCTCTTCCATTCTTTCTATGGTTGTATAGCCAAGCGATTCGGCGATCAGCTTGTACAACTGGGCGTACACGACGGATCTCTTGAGTCCAAGACGTAATTCAAGGTTCAAGGTTTGATAGGGACGTCAGGCGTATCCGCTCATTATGACGTCCCGTATCGAGGTAGAGTACGTCCATTATGGGACACATCCACATCCCACAACGGACGTCCTATGGACATACTAAGGATTTGGTGTATGGGACGAGAGTATTTCTAACCTTACGGGATGTCCTCTGAATGCTCCAGGGATTTCCATATCCCAAGACGATTTCATTATGACATCCATGGGATGTCATTTTGTCCTACGTAGGATCCAAATGGGATGTCCCAGGGATGATCCCTTGCTACTTGGGTAGGATATCCTGAAGACATCTTCTTTTGGAAAGTTTCGGACGTCTCGTAAGGGATGTCTTCGGGACATCTAAGAGACGTCTTTTAGACATCTTCTGTCGGCATCTTAGCGATGTCCTTTTTGGGATATCTTTAAGACATCCTTAGTCGAATGCTTCTAGATATTTTGGAGGGGATATCTTGAAGACTACTTCAGTCGAATGCTTCTGCATATCTTGAAGAGAATGTCTTCGGGACATCTTAGGGATGTCCTTAGGGATCTTCAATGCTCTTTGTCGCCTTCAGTTAGAAGCATACCTTCGACGGTATATGTCTCCCGAGAGCCCTGATCTGCAACCTCAGATCTTTTCTATCAAATTCATCTACTTGATTTGTCCTGAGGATAAGTTAGGATTTTCTTACCGTACATCGGGAAAACTGCCACTAGGGACAGTGAAAAAATTGCAGTTCGAATTGTAATTTATTCCGCTATATTCTATTTAATGATGTCTGATCGGCATGTCCGGATACAACTATCTTGGTTGGAGGCCTAAGCCCATATTTTTAAAAGTCTGTAATACTAAATCATCCCATTCGTGACCATGTGTATAGGTGCTAAATTTAATCCCTTGGAGATGTGTCTCCTATGGTGGGGACCCTTTAAGAACAAGGGTTTCCTCCCCATAATCGTCACTCGTCAATCGGTCAATAACTTAAGATTAGGTGTCCCTAGATCAAATAGAGACATTTTCGAAAGTAATAGGCTCTTCTGTGCGGTAAGAAATGAGTCCTATGGGGATAGAAAAGCGCCTGCAAGTACTACCTGGGACTTCTCACTTTTCCCTAGCCGATATATCTGGGGACATCCTTCGGATATACATGTGCTACAAGGAAGAGACATCCTTGGGATGTCTTTACACCCTGACATTTTGATATCCCTGAGATGTCCCCACAAGTTATGTCCTGGACTTGTCCCAAAGGGATATCCCTGGGACATCTCTGGGATGTGCTAGTTCTTCAAGAAAGGGACATCCTTGGGATGTCGTTGCGCCCAGACATTTTGACATCCCGAAGATGTCCCTAGAAGTCATCTCTGGGACCTCTCATTTATCCCAAGGGGATATCTCTGTGATATCTTAGGGATACACTTGTGCTGTGTGGGTTATCAAGACCATGACGTAATCTTTTTTTCCAAAGGGAATTCCTTCATGAACCGGTGAGAGCTTCATCTCTCGAAAGTCTTGGATAATGTGCATCACTGAATCCCAAGATGTTCGAGGTAATTTCGAATACTGAGATTCATGACATGATAAAACCTGAAATACTGTAATGGGGAGTTACACCTTAGGCCGACAGAAAACGATGATGATATAAAAAATTCTACTTGAACACAAAGTGACATTGCTTACACGGTAAGAAGTATCAAAAACCAGTTGTATACTACCTGGTGCCTGTGCTCAGTCGTGTTGGAGCGCACCAAAGAGATGTAGCCTTCCTAGTGAGGAGCCGTGGGCAGATCGGTTGTTCACTGCAATTTTTGATACTTCAAATTTGAAAAGTTATTGCATTTGAATCACTGGTTGAGACTTTCTTAACACTTTTACTGTCACTCGACACGCCGGCGTGTTGTATGCTCTTTCTTATTTATCTGAGATTTCATGCGCAGAAAAATTGACGCAGATTAATTTCCCAAGGATAGAAAAAGTGCCTCTCAGTTCGCATAGGGATTACTGTCGTGAGAACGTTGTCGGCCGGGGTCCTCGGTCGAGTCTCTAACATGGACTGAGTTCCCCAAGTTACGGATGCTCTCGCGCGATGACAATGACATTCTTTATAATTTTCCTGGTTTTCTTTTTTCTTTTTTTTTTATAAAAATATTTGATTCCTACTTCTGCCTTATGTTGGTTACCTTTCTGAGGCCCAATATCGGTCCAATGCTACTGTGCTACTGGGGATACTTAAATCCTCAGGATCTAATCCTGACGTTAGGACTGGATGGATTGTCCAAAGTATTTTTGACTCTTTTTAACGTACATCAAGCCATGAAAATAGGCCTATAGGCAAAAATGTTACTGTTAGGCCTAAACCAAGCAAGAGAGCCTCACAAACGAGACCCACAACCCCAATACGTGATTATTCCAGTCTCCCTTTCATGGGCCTGCAGTTGTTTATTCAAACTCCAATTGGCTTATTATTCCTTTAATAGCACAGGCATACCCAGGAATTCAGTGCCATCTACCTACAATTCCCTCGAAATTCAGCACTCCTCTTTCTAAATGAATTATCGTTTCATTCAGTTAACTCAATGTGGCTGCTCAGCCCTCCCATTTTTTTCCCTATTGTAATCTACCAGTACATCAGGTTCCATATTCACCTGTGGTTCCCATACATCTGCACCTAATGCCTTCAGCTATCTAAAGTGCATCCTTCTCAATGCCTGCAGCCTTAACAAACTACTGAGTTCTCACTACATCCTAATTATGACCTTTTTTCACTTAAACTTAGCTCTTGTTGACCTCATAGTCTGTCCACTTGTCTATTCATGTTTGAAATGCAATCATAACTCACATGGAGGATGCATCTATAACAATATTCATTATTCCTGAGCATTTCCACCTTCTCCCTTCTTTTAGTCTACTGCTGAATTTCTGTGGTTCTCTCTTAAGCTTAATAACAAGGGTAAACTTTTTATTTATTTAAATAATCTTACAGCCACCTCCCTCCCCTCCCCACCCCATTACTTGAATACCCTCCTTACCATAAATCTATTCAGGACAAGCTATGTGTCACCATGAATTCCCTTGGCTTTGCTCAGGTTGTATCAGACATCACCAGGCCAAATCTTGCCAATACTATCAGTGGCTCCATAATGGGCCTTCTTGTCAGTAACCCTGAATTCTTATCTAGCATTTTTATTGCTCTAGATTTAGGCTCAAAAGGCTATGTCACCATCATCCTTAATATTGAAATTCCTGAGCCTCTTCTCCAACCTAACCTTCTCCTTATTACACTAAACATGCTCTTCTTTGGATGTTTTTAGCTTGCAACATCCCTGTTTTCATCAGGCCTTGGCCTCCTCTCATTGGCACAGCCTCAGCAACTATAATTTTATGATGGACACTCCAGTTGACATAGACTCCACCTGTAAAGACTTCTCTCTGATCATTTTAGATCCTGCCAGGTCTTTTCAACCTTGCTGTAACCTCCCTTGGGTAACCCCCTTCATTGTTTCACTTTACAGATGTAAGTGTAATGCATTTATTCAGCCTAAAAATCTTCATTGTTAACTTAGCCAAAAATTGTAAACTTCTTTTGGGTCTTCATCAAATCTTATCTAAGCCCTGACAAGGCACAACAGATTTCTCCATTGGTGGTATGGATATCTCTTACCCACTAATTATTGCATCTGAATTTAATAAGTATTTTCATAAAGTATTAAGTATAGAATCTGCTATAAAGTAACCACCCTCTACCTGCCTGACAAGCTAGCGATTGAATCTGATCCCATTGAGGCTCAGCTTGAGGTCTAGCAAGCACTTTCCCCACTTAAAAGTAAAAACTCTTGCAGATCTGATATCAGCTCCAGGAATCACCTCACCACTAACTGCCCTTTTTGATTTATCTCTCTCTACTGCTCCACTCTCCTCTGTTTGGTAAACCACCAATGCGGTTCCCTTCTATAATTCTGGTCCCAAAAATCTTATTAAAAAATTATAGGCCTCAAAGAGATTCCATTGACCAGAGACTGAAGGAATACATGCACCATGATGGCATATGCTTGTGGTTTTCCTAAGCTTGGATTGCCGGCAGCACATCACTGGCCATGTTGATGTGAAGGATCAAAGGCACCAATTCTGAGTGTCAAGTCCTTGTCTATTACTGGTCTCTGGAAAAGTGTGATAGATATCATACCTTGGAAATGGGAAAAACTACAATTAGGGAGAAGAGAATGATGCACTTTGGTACTCAGGGTTGCCAAGAATATTTATGTTGAACAACCAGAGTATCAGTACCAATATATGAGGAATGGGAGATGAAACATTAGACCAATCAAGAAATGGCAAAGGATTCGTAAATTACATACACTGCAAAGAGAATTATCAGACTTCTGTGATGTTACACTTCTGCTTCTGCAGAGGGAGCACCTGAGTAATATTAATGCCTGCATTTTGGGGATGGCTACAAGCCTACAAGTCTCTGCATGAATACTGTTGTATACTTTTTAAATTAAAAAATCCCAATAAATGCTCATTTTTAGAGTAGCTTCTTTTTTTTTAAAGTAAGGGTGGATTTTTTAACAGAGCATTATCTGACAATACAGCATTATTTCAGAGAAAATACATATTTCCTGAAAATGAAGCTTCATTATTAGATAGTGCTCTGTTCAAAAATCCACCATAAGTGTAAAAATTTCATCCTTTTTAAATGAAGAAAAATTAATGTTTTTATTGTTTGTTTGCTTTATTACAGGCTTATTCTAGAAGTCATGCTAGTGACTTCTATATTCTGGCTTCCTATATATCTCCAAATGACAGTATGAAAATATGAAATGTGAAGTATGAAGTTCCAATCTCAAAGACAAGCATTTTATCAAAGGATCAATGCTCTTCTCCCTGTCCTCATCCTACCTCTGTCCATGTGTATAGCATGCCAGGGGTTTGCTTGGATGGTTGCCATGCTTGGATTGCTTGCTGGAATCTTGTCATGTTGCCACTTGAGAATGAAAGGAAGGACAACTCTATTTTATTCCTGGAACATATCATCTCTTTGGCTTCTGATGGCATTTTTCCAATTCACTGTGATCGGTTTTTGGAAGATAAATTATTCAGAGAATTTTATGCTGCTAGTCTTATATGGTGCAGCTATTTATTGTCTGCGGAAAGTAGTTTTCATTAGACAAATGGAACTTGGACTACAAAATCGAGGCCTGGTGATTACTCCTTTCCACAATACCCTTGGGCAAGGATCCTACTGCAGTGCTTGTGGAGTGAGCATTGAAGACAGACTCTTCCACAGCCATTGGTATTTGTATAGTATTTGAGTGATATTGTCATCCTAATTTTTCATGTCAAAAAGAAGGCAATTTGAATGAGATTTCATTCTCAGGGTGAATGGGTGCATAACAAACAGGAACTTCAGTTGGTATATGGGATTCTTGTGGCTGACATTGGTGACAGTTGCATATGGGAGCAATTTAGCTTTGACCAGTGTCTGCCATCCTCATTATCTTGTACAGCAATTCCTCCTGGTCCCCAATGACTGCTCCTATGTCTTCTCTGATACAGAGTAAGGCATATGAACTAATTTTTATATGTTCTAGATGAGAATTCTCAATGCAATTCATGTATCTCTTGTTTTTCTAGGTATGCTTGCACTTATGTGGCTTCCTGCTATGCACTTCTATTTGGCATCCCTTTAGCCCTAACTGCCATCAGCATGACAGTCAAGAAACCAAGCCCAAAGAAGTGATATCTTTGATTCCTTATATAATTGCAAATGAGAGTGCATCACTCTTGGTGCAGTGCAGTAATTAAAAAAAAAAGGAGTTCTGGATAATAAAGTCATATTCCTTGTAGAATGATTCACTCCAGTTCCTCAAAGTCAAATCTTTTCCTTTTAGGAGGGATTTGTGGTGCACCTTAAGCTTAAACTTAAACAAAAACTGACACTTTTCAAATGCAGTAAGGGGATGTCTACTTGGCACAGGCTCCAAACTCACTGTTCCCCCCCTTAGTCCTCTGAGGCAGCTCCTGAATTGATGGGTATAAGTGGTTTTTAAGATGTACTGCACTTCTAAGGTCCTAGATATGGTATGTGTGCTACCCTGAGGCAAGGCAGACATTCCCCACCAAGTAGATGAGTAAATGGTCACAGGAACAGGATTACCATTGCATAGTTTCAATCCCCCACCTCCCAGGTTCAAGTCAAGCCCAAACCACTCAGCTACAAATCCTAATTTGTCAAATCAATCTTACAAGAGTAGCACTGGATTGTGATGGATGATGAGATACAGTCAGACCCTACTTTTCTCTATCAACATATTTCCATCTCTTGAATTAGCATGAAAAGGCAGTATGAACTATTGGCAAGAAAGATAGGTGTGTAACCACAGAAATGAGGCATCAGCTTGCATCTTATGACAACTTTCTTTCACTATCTGGCATCTACTGCAAGCTAGTGCTACTCCCTGTGTCTTGTTTTGGCTAAAGAATAAAACTTTCTATGCATTTTGAATAGAAACTTTTAGTTTCAGACCTATGTATAGAAGAATGTGGGAATGCTAGACCTTTAATGTATAGCAAGTGTTTAAAATAGGGACATAATTGATAAAAACACAAGGTTCCTTGTGCCAAATAATTTATTTCTCAAGAAAAATTGTGGAAGCTCCTCTGAAGGGGGCAGGATTAGATAATCATATCCCCCATCCCATTTGGCAGATTTCTTGCCCTGATGGGGGAAACACATGACAAAGTCATTACAAATAACTTTTTTTCAAGATTCACCAGCAAGGAAGTGCAGTGGTTTTATTGGAAGCCAAGATTAATTGGACAAATAAAAACCTGTGCCTAAGTACTTTGGGCTGATGTTTGAAATACTATTATGTGCAGTCTTCTCATTCTGACTAGATTTTAAATAATGAACAGAGTATCAACAGGATAAGCAAATGTATGTAAAAGGAAACATTGAAGTATATATTCAAGAAAACTAGACATTTGCAAGGAAAATTTGATTTCCCAAAACACTTACAGAAATCTGGGGTATGAAACAAGTCTTTGTGATGAAGTAGAAAGCCAACACAAGCCAACATTTCAAATAAACCCATTCAAGAAAATGAAATCAAATTACAATCTTTGTATGCATCTATCAAGTTCATAATAATGAGAGTGGATCCATTCATCACTCCTTTGTCTCAGCATGGCTGAAATTACCAAGAAAAGTACAAATTAATTCCTCCAATAAGAAAAAGTTCTCTTTAACACACAGTAACAAAGCCGTTATAAATACATGGACTTGACAAGATAAAATGAAAAAAAAAAAAGGATTGCCCACAGTGTAGCAGATCTTGATGCAGGATATGAAGCATGGCCATGGAGACAGTATTTCCAAGCTTTGTTTTCTACCAAGTGTTGCACCTGGTGTGTCAACTTTTCTCCAGCAGCTCAAAATGCTTCCGAGCATTTCTGATGTTAAGCAGAGTAGCAGCAGATGCTGTAAGGAAAAAAAAGTCAATCTGAGATGTCCCTTTTGAGCACTGCATCACCAGTTGGGCATCATTGTTTTTCTTTTTCTTCTATCAAGTGACAAACTGTCTAAGAATGATGTTCAGAAATAGTAACTAATGTGTGAGTCTATAAATAAGACCTATGAACTCACGAATGGTAGGGTCAGAGAGGATAACCATCACAAATGTGTTGGAGGTGAAGACATCAATAAAGGCTGCAAATCCTGAATTTCGCACTTCCATACTCTGGAATTGAGCAGCCAACTTGCTGCACACACAAAAAAAGCAAATGGCATTAAGTTTAAGGTACTATGGGAAGATGAAAATCGACCCCCGTGGATTGAAATTCCGCTTTATAATTGCTGTAAGGGATCTCAAGAAAGGGCCTTGGAGCCGATTACTGACTCTCTGAGGTCACACCCAGGCCCATGATTTGAGGTCAAAGGTCACGATTTACATGCCTCTCTTTGAAAGTTTGTATCTCCCCAACCATTGGTCGCAGAAACGTCAAATTCTTGCCATTCTCCTTGGAAGATATCACGCTAAATGTAAATTGAGGCCATTTCTGTCCTACCGGGTCGATTTCTTCGGTCGCAAATACTGGATTTTTTTTGTTCCTATCGCATAGAGATATGTTTCAGGGATCAAATGACACCAAGATTGCTTACTTTCTCCCAGGTGATAATGAACAGCGGGGTTTTAATTCCCCGATTTGCATGAAATCTTGAATCCTCGCGCGCAGCTCTTCTTTCTTGGACTTCCCTCCCGACTCACTCTCCTATGTTCCTTCACCTGCCCCGGGACCCAGTCGCATGCACGCATTTCCCCATTTTTCAGTCGTCTCGAAGGATCTGTGTAAAAAACTCAAAATATATTAACCTCGTTCTGAAGATCTCTGCTCAGGGGTGGAACTAATTCCGCATTCGGATTAGGTCCTTGCTTCATATCTCGGTGATGCAAAAGATCTTGAAATATGCTACCTTTCATTGTGAGATATTGAGGGCAAGAAGTATTGAAAGCCCTTTGGTCTATGAATTTGTATGTATTTTTTTATCATTTGAGCTTTCTGCACGTTGCTTCGGAAAATTTGGATTCCTAGTTAAGTGTTATGACCCCGTTTCCTTCATGTCAAGCGTGTGAAATTTTTGCTTCCTATCTGCATTTTAATGCCTCAAAAATTAGCAACCGTGGCGGGAGACATTTATCCGCACCCTTTTTCAGCACATCCGCACCCAATTAGAATTGCCTTCTAGAGAGAGAAGACAAGGTGGAAGGGGGGGGGGGGGGGCGGCGACGAACATCCGCACCCAATTAGAATTGCCTTCTAGAGAGAGAAGACAAGGTGGAAGGGGGGGGGGGGGACGGCGACGCGCCAATAGGAATCTCAGGAGGGGGGAAACGAAAGCGGAGCATTTGATAATGTAAAAAAAAGAAAAGAAAAAAATCAATACAAGGTGCCCCAAAAAAGGGCACTCTCTCCAACTCGCATTTTAGGCGTGATGCTTTCAAGGATATTTTTTCTGGTTGCATATAATGGAAAGGAGAAAAACACGGCAAAAAAAAAATGTTTGTTTTTTTCAGGCCTATTTTTCGTAACCGAAATTCAATCATTTTTTCTTAAGTCATCCTTTAAGATATTTCAAATCTGAAAATGAGCATTTTGCACTGTGTCTTTCTTCTTTCCATTATATGAAACCAGAAAAAATATCCATCACACCTATAATGCGAGTTGAAAAGTGCCCTTTTTTTGGGTCACACTGTAGAAACAGGCGCCAGTTGAAGTCGCGTCGGTCTCCTGCTACTCACTTATACACAGACACACACAATCCCCCGCACGCACAAGTGGATGTGAGTCGGGAGGAAGGTCCAAGAAAGAAGAGCTGCGCGCGAGGATTCAAGATTTCATGCAAATCGGGGAATTAAAACCCCGCTGTTCATTATCACCTGGGAGAAAGCAAGCAATCTTGGTGTCATTTGATCCCTGAAACATATCTCTATGCGATAGGAACAAAAAAATCCAGTATTTGCGACCGAAGAAATCGACCCGGTAGGACAGAAATGGCCTCAATTTTAAAATGGGCCACAGCAAAAAGCGATAGGCTCCGAGGATAGCAAACGGATTCTCATGAAAATCCACACGAAGCTTCTTAAGAGATCTATCAGAGGAATTTTTGAATTTCGGCTTCGTTTTCGAGCAATGTCAGTCAATCTCAAGTAATTTCCAAAAAAGTGGCATTTTCGTGTGGATCGTCGAACTTTGAGAGCGAACGGTTGGAGGAAACTATGCGCAACTCCGCCAAAAGATGGATCAGGATAGCCTCCAAAAAGAATAGCATGCTTTTGTCGATAGCAAATTTATACGAGGAATGAGAGCGAAGAAACAGAATCCGAAAGCGGAAATTTTCTCAGTTATGGCGCCATGGCGTCTCGATAAACGACGATTACATGCATGAATTTATTTTTTACATTTAGCGTGATATCTTCCAAGGAGAATGGCAAGAATTTGACGTTTCTGCGACCAATGGTTGGGGAGATACAAACTTTCAAAGAGAGGCATGTAAATCGTGACCTTTGACCTCAAATCATGGGCCCGGGTGTGACCTCAGAGAGTCAGTAATCGGCTCCAAGGCCCTTTCTTGAGGTCCCTTACAACAATTATAAAGCGGAATTTCGATCCACGGGGTTCGATTTTCATCTTCCCATAGTACCTTTATTTCACTCTTATCCATTTCTTTCATGAAGGGTTCACCCAGTAGTTGAAAAAACACTGACCTGCAACTGAGCTTGAATTGCTTTACAATATTTGACACCTTCTCAAAGCGGTGAATGTCTCTGTGAGCCCGACGCTCACAGTGAGAGATCACAAGAAATGTGGCCCGCTCAAAAAGGAGGACCTCGTCTGCATCCAAGATATTTGCAAACTCACGAAGCTTCTTCTCCAACTGATGAACGTTTGGTATCAAGAGGTATACAATAGATGACCAGGCCTAAATAAAGAAAGGCAAGTCCAAGAAAAATTTATACTTCTCATTCATCAGTCAATGATAAACCTTTGTTGAACCCCCTTCCCGTCTAGGTAATTCAGAAAAAGATATGGGCTATCAAGAATTTTACCATTTGTTTTTGGGTGGAACAACTCTTTGACATTTATCATGTCAGACAAAGACTGCATCCAAGATCTCAACTGCTGAGCAACTGAATGACATATTTAAAGAGGATTTGTGAACATTTTCCCCATACATTTTGGGTGCCTCATTAACCCCTTAAATGGACTCGCCGCATATGTGCGGTCTGGCACCTGCCATCTCTCAATGGAATCACCGCACATATGCCTTTAAAAGTTCCCAGTTAAGGGGTTAAATATATTTATTCACATGACAATAATTGTTTTTTAAAGAGAGGTGAGTGGTAGCAGATAAAATTCTCATAATATCAACTCTCTAGCTATGACTTCTTTGCTGGTCTTCCATATAACATATAATAATGGTGCAGGTATAGCGTGTGCTCTACTGTAAGGTGTGATCTACCTCCCAGGCAAGCGAGCAAAACCTAACTTGATCGGGAGGTAGATCAAAAAGATGGTGGGGGGTTAACTTCAGAATCTGTAACCATGTCTTTGGGAGCAAATAAGTGTTAATATCATACATATATCTATATGGATATATTGGTAATATATTTTTCATTCTCATGGCACGTTTTCCTATGCCCTTCTGGTCTAGTGTTTGTCATTCCAGTGAGACCCATAATTGCACTGGCACAGTTGGTGGACCTCCATTATTTCCTCCCAGGTTTGTTGTCAAAGGCCAAAGAGTGAGAAAGTCAACCTATTTTGGAGGATGATGAGGACCCATCATCCTCCAAAATAGGTTGACTTTCTCAATCTTTTGGCCCAACAAAGAAGGAATGCTATTCCCTTGGTACATGTTTATAGTTATTTCTGATGCAAATATGCTTGGGTTTAGTGAAAACTCAAAAAAGCATATAGGGAAGGTAGAGTGCATGCTATACAGGCACCCTTATAACTTATGTCTGGAACCTTGACTGTGGAGGTGAGCTGTGCAGCACATTCCTCCTGGTCATCAAGACATTGTCAAACTCCTTTCCAATTCATTCTCCTGGCTGGTCATCTCTTGCAGTTGAATGGATGGGTATCAATCCAAAGATTTTTTCAAATTTTATTCAGAATTTCCTAAGTTTTTTGAAAAAAAAAACAATTCCATTTAAGAGAGTTTCATCAGAGAAAATCGTTCACAACTTTAAGTTAATTACTTTTGGCAGCCTTCTTGACTTTCATATGAATTAAATCATGGTACATTCTCAACAAATTTTGTTAGACATGAGGGAAGCAATATTAAGATACACTCAAGGTCAATGGTCTTTTTTTTTTCCAAGCTCAGCAGACTGGCTGACAGTAGCAAAGGGAAATTCTGTATGAACTTCGAGAAAACTCTGAATTCATCAATTCATTCATTTAATCTGTCATTCATTGGGAATAAGCTCATGAAAAGCATCTGCAAAGGATGACCAACTCAAATAATGAATTTAAATGGAAGAGGTGTTTGACTTGGTCTTATGACAAGGAAGGAGTGTTCTGGCATTCTCTCTACTCCACTACCAACAGGAGCTCTTGTCCATTCTCAATGTCAAACTTATTTTCAATAATTGCTGATGGTATTGCATCAGCTCAACAAATTCTGAGGAAAATTTGAGAATACCTTGAAAACATACTTATGTATGCATAATTAAAGTTTTGTAAAAAAAAAAATTGTTCCTTTAAGAACAGAGAGGTTTTGATTAAAAGTTCATCTTTTTTTGCCATGCCCTGTATTATATGTCCAATATATTTCTAGCTAAGTATATATACATTTTCCAATATGGTTACATAAATATTGTATACATGTGTGTCATGAACAACAAATTTGGCAAGAGAAAGACAAGACAAGGCAAGAGAAAAAGTCCTGCTAGTGAAAATGGTCAAGTACAAAAAATAGCACAAGGAGGTTAAAGTAGCAATCAGACAAAGATGTAGTTGAGCCAGCTGATGCTCAAGAAATTCAACAATAGGATATCAAATGTTGTCTATAAGATCTCAACCAGTAATAGCATTAAACCCAATTCTCACGACCTGTCAGGGAAGTTGTAGACAGCATCCATTGCCAAATTTCTCAAGCTAGGGAATGCAGGATCCATGAAGCACAGACTTTTTCATGCTAAATGACTAAGAAAGTATTGCTGATTGCCCAATGCCCGAAGGTTATTCTACCTGTTAGTACACTATTCATCAGTCTTTCTTGTGCAGAACTTGAACTGAAGCACTTGACCTAAAAAAAAGTTCATTGAAAAGAATGAAAATACATGCAAAATATGAAAAAAGAGAGAATAAGGGAATGGCTTTCAGTAGGCACCTGATACTATACTCATGTAATAACATCTTGAGAGAAATGACACATTCACTGCTAGGCACTTTCTTTCATGGATTTAAAATTCAACTGAAGATATCTAGAGGCTACATTTCTTTCCCATGACATTCCCTTTCATATGAACAATGTCACTGAAAGAGCCATGTATTAGCTGATTTCAATAGAAATGGTAACAATATAGGTAAATCTGCCAACTGCCAATTAGCCCTAAAAGGGCAAAGAAATATGTACATAAATAGACCTTATAATCACAATCTTTCAAACTACCTAAAGGGAATAAGTTGAGCTCTTTATAAATTATATTGACCACAAAAGCATTAATAGAATGATAAGGACTTACTTTATATAAAGTTTCATCCCATATAGATGTCCTGAAACAGGTGCACTCCAAGGGTTTAGACAATCGCTTCAGGTCTTCCTCCCTCTCTTTGAAGATCTACAAAATCACAAAGAAGAGTCTCAGCTTGAAATAGTTATGGGGGGTAATGTATAAGCAGAAGAATTAAAAGAGAAGGAAATAAGCACCAAACTTACAATGTCCCTCTGGTCTTCCTGAACAAGATCCATCTTATGAATGAGACAGAAGATCTTGGCCTCAGGTGAATTCTGAAGGATGGCCTCAAGGCATGTCTGGTAATAGTGCATATCTCGATCAAGCTCTCGAGATTCTACATCAAATACATAGATAAGCACTTCCACATTGCGAAAGATGTTGTCACGCTGACTGGCAAAGTAGTTTTCCATGAATGCCTCCTGCCTGCATGTAGGGAAACCAAAAAAAGTCAAAGGAAAATAAGCCTGTGGTCACAACTAGGGATGGGTTATTGACCAGTCAATTAAAAACATGTCAATTGACCAGTCAATATGGTCAACTATGGTCAATTTTGGTAAATAGGACCAACTTTCTTTCTTTATTTTTTTCTTCATAGTTTTTGCACCATTATATATGTCATGACTTACAAGTGATAGACTAGGGATGGGAAGTTGACTGGTCAACATGGTCATTTTAGACCATTTGCAGAAAATAATGGCTATGAGCCCAACAAGAGGTTAGGCCTTATGACTATATGATCATGTTGACCAGTGAACATCTCATTGCTAAGTTAAATTTAATGTTCCAACTCATGCAATCTATAGGGTAAACAGTAGTGAATCATGTTTCATAGCTAGATTAAATTTTTTTTGGCATAGGCATAGGCATAACCCAAGTACTTGTCCCATGATCACAGACTTTGAGAATAATTTGATGCTCTGATGCAGACTATTAGCCAGGACCAGGATTGACCTTGCATGAAACTAAAGTTCTAAAGCTGTTACTTAGATCTTGAACCTTAACTTTGAAAGTCCTCGAGGCTATAAAACTTTGAACAGCAAGTTATGCCTGCACACACACTCTGCATCACTCAGGTGAAAGGTCATGGTAGTTTGAGCATTTGCTAAAATGTTTTCCTACCCAATAGGTGCCACAGTCTAGGTGTTTGGCAGGTTGCATGAACAAATCTTAAAAATTGAACTGGCTCTTTGGTTTTAGTGCTGGAGGATAAATGACCACAGTTATGAGTTCTATAAAAAAATATCTTAATTCACTGAATTAAAAAAATTAATGGTCAATTGACCACCCCATCCCTAGTCACAACACCAGAGAAAACTTTTCAGAGGTTAGAATGACCTAAAAATACCATGACTGTAGGCATGGACTCACCCGCCACAGTCCCATAGGTTCAGCACCAGGTTCCCCAAGAACCTCACATGGGAATGCTCCACATCAACTAAGAAATACACACAATTATTGAAATTAAAATTACTGAACAGGGAGTGGCCTCATACAATACAATTGCTTGCTGGGATGTTTCTAAGCTATATCATAGTCTATAAATAACTATGAAGTCATTACTAGTGGTTCTCTATTAGTGCTGGGAAATGTCAAGCTAGAGTTCAATCAAACCACTTCTGTTGCAGAATTATCAATTCTTTTAAAGTAGCATTTTATTTTTCAAAATAAAATGCATGCTACTAAATGAATTACCATTTGGCAACATCAAAACCACTTTTATATTAAATAAAGATATAGAGAATCAATGAAACAGTGAAAACTAGGAGATATTCACACACAAGAAGGAATTGCATATTGATTAGCCCTATATTTGCATGGAAATATCTTCCTTTTTGTGATTTTGACAGTTTATACAGATTGCAAAAATGACCGCATTGGATTGCTAAGCAATTCTCATTAGGTAGGCATACCAATTTTACCAGTGGGTCATATGACTTATATATTCCAGCTTTTTGCTTTGTGTGCTACTCTGTAAGGATAACACATTAACAGCTACTTCTAATGAGGTGGATACCTGAATTCATGACTTCCAAGCAAATAAGAAATACAATTCTGGCATTCTTTGGTAAAAGATCAAGACTTGGTCATGAAATAACTCCTTGCTTCAAAAGTCCATACTCATAGGCAATTGGAACTATTTAAATCAACTTCATTAAATGTTCAAATTGGCAAAATTCCTTACAATCCTCTCTGGTTTCTACCAGCAACATATAACAAAACCAATTCCTCCTCTACCAGCAGTGTTTAGTCATCCATCATCTTTTATAACAATCACCTAGAAAAGTAAAATTAAATAGTTCCAATTACCTCTGAGTACAGACTTTACAGACAAAACAACCTGTGTAGAATATGGCATTCGTTAACACTAAAGAAGACTCCTGTGCAAGATAGTCAAAGTTAGAAGCTTGGACTGCAGAAAAGTAATTTTTGTTGGTGCCAATGTCCTTATAAGCTGACTTCGACCTGACAAGGGCTGGATTAAGAAGTTGCAAGGCCTGTCATGTTTCAACATGTTGATGTTCTAGCCCTAGTCTGCCTCCATCAGTATAATTAGATTGTTTTTTGCTGGATGTCATAGCTGCTCAAAGCAATTAATCAAATTCTGAACTGCAAAAGATGATGAGAGAGTACTTGGTAGGAATACCTAGAGGGGTCGTGCTAGGTTTCTTGCCGTAGGGGTCCCTGGGACCCTCAGGTCTGATGTGGAAGGGTCCCCTGATAATTAAGGAGGTTACTTTCCAAGTGAAACACAAGGGAATCTTGAAAGGTTCCCCAAAAGGAAAAGTCCAGCAATCCATTTGTATTTGCCAACTTAACATAACCAAGCAGTATGATATTCAATCCAGCAGTCTTGGGCCTTCTGCCTATGTGTCCAGGGACCCCTGGGATGTATGGGCAAGAGTCCTAGTGCAACCCCTGACCTACTCTCCCAGTGAGATATCTTTGTTTCCTTTTGTGGCCCTCCAGAACGTGAAGTGACCTTGAGTTCAAAATACAGCTATCAAGAGCTAATCCCAGACAGTTGACCACAATATCAAGGATATTAGTCTCTGCATCATGAACGACGTGAACATTGATGGAAAGGAATAGAAGTCTTTCATACACAAGGATAGCTCACCAGCTTCTTCAATTGAAAAAATTATATATTAGAATCAAAAAGGTTGGCTTAAGTTCCCAACGATGGTCGGACCAGTTAATCTAAAAGATAATTATTGAGCACGGGCCTCATGAACCTGAAATATGGAATATCAGCAGATACGTTCTAAATACAGTACTGATGTGTTTAATTTCAATATAAATATTTAAATAACGCTTTAAAAAATTTGGTACTTACGGTTATGTTAAGGATGCATTGAGAAACAAAAAAACATCACTCACTTGTTGCACCAAGGCGACGAGTATCTCGTGCAATGTAGTTTGCAAAAATTATGGACCGCATGCTTGTTTTCCCAGAGCCATTCTTGCCCATGAGCAGCACCTTTGAATATTAAGTGAAGACATTCAAATGCAAGAGCTTAACATTACGAACTAGCCAAGTATATGCTAATACAGGCAGCATTAAAAAATAACTTCCAAGAGGCAACAAAACGAATGTAGCCTTCAGCTACCTGAAGTTATGTGCCCATTAACTAACCTTTTTCTTCATGTTTCTATCTTTTTTCGCAACTGCTCAAAGGATGTGCGATGCTCGTATAGGTTAAACCGTTCACACTCGTCCAAGGGTCGTCACGTCACTCCTAAAACTTACGTATGTTGTGTTAGCGGGTAGATAACCCTACACATGTATGCAAGTACTGGTTGGGCCAGCGGACGACATTACCAGTGATGCCGCACTAGTCACTTGCGTTCCTCTTGAAATGAATGCGATATTGGTTGAATTGCCTAACCTTACTTATGAAAGTGATAAGTATGCTAAACTCATGTAATATTATTATATTTAAACTCTACATGGAGAACTACTGAGTAAGAAGGAGACCATCATATCTATGAATGTATATATCGTGAAAGTGGCTGAAGTATTGTTAGTCCTTTGCACGGCCTCGGCCACGCCACATTTTCGCTTGTTTTGTATTGGTGGAATATTTCCCTTAAGTGTCAGGTAAGATGTGTTTAATAAGTTTACCATTACCAGTTTCATACTTTCGGTTTTTATGCCAATAAGTTCCAAGGACTCGAACTGCATGCACGCTCATGAGCAAAATAAGCATATGCGTAAGATTTAAGTTACGCCCTGTTAACGAACGTTAAGCTAGCTAACCAGTTCAGACTGACGAAAATTATTTTCAAGGTCCACCTCGTAAATGGCTTTTCAACTTCCTTGAAGTCCCTGCAGTTAAACTTCATATTATTGAGTAGCAGGAAAGAGTGACAAGACATTTTGAGAACACAAAATTAAAGCCTTACACTTCATTCCCCTCTAATTTCTAACTTAAAGACAGCCAGTCACTCCACCTACAACAGATTGGTTACATAGCCACCTGGAGGATGGTTACAATAAATTAAAATAGCTAATTGCTGGAACTCCACCTCCATCTCATTTCCCCACCAATCAACATTCAGACTTCAGAAAATAGTTTTTTCCCTCATATTCTTGAGTTTTATATTATATTATATTATATTATTTTTAAGCTGAACCACCCAAAGGGCCACATTTTTCTTGCTTCAAGCACCTTTCTTGTCCTTGTAGGAAGTAGAGAGCAAAGCCTGAAGATGCAGCTATCTTGGATTCTGGCATGTTAGAGTTCTTCATTGCTCTAACTGCTCTAGCCCTATTCTAATTTCCCCAACACACAAGAATCTCCTTAGATTTTGGCTTTCTAAAAGTAATTACTGGCTATGGTTGAGTGCACTCATCCCCATATGTAATGTTCTTCATAATGTGAAGTCTGGTGATTAAACAACTGATCTATAAAAAAAAACTGAACATTAGTCCATTGTGAATCCCTTTACTTCTGCTATCTCTGATCCTTATGTTAGGCTACAGTCTTAGTTTTGATTTAATTTAGAATTGTGAGGTACTAGATCCTGCAACTATCCAATATCTGGCTTCTTAACTGAGTATCTGATTGGCTGGATTGGAGACCAAAGGGATCCAGTGGAGACCAAAGGGAGGAAGATTGAGTTATTTTTTCTTAAGAAAAGAATAAAAGTAGGAATATTTTGGTTAGCTTACCTACTTAAAGAATAGAATAGAGTAGAATATATTTCCACATATTAGCAAGTTAGAACAAAAGGTAAAGACAATACACACAAAAAAGGTGTAGGGAAAAAGAATAGAAATAGAATTCAAATGCATATAGTGAGCAATAAGGCTATTCATTGAACCCTATTGAGGTCGCCCTGGATGGCAGGGTTGGAATGCAACAAAGTTTTGATTTTTTTTATTGATTGGTAGATTTATTTATTCTTCTTCTGGGGATCTGGCCTAATCTACTCAGAGTTTTATAGAATCTTTTTATAATCTTAGAGAGTATTGAGGTGCACATTTTGTTAGCGTGCCCACATCTGCTTGTGTGATGATTCCATTCATTTGCAATGATGGGAATGAAGATTGACAAGGCCTGGCCCTGTAGTTGAAAATGAAATCTACTGTGCTTCGGGCAACTTGAAAAAATAGACAGGTTACTCAGTACATTGGTGATGCTATGGTTCCCCCTTGCAATATTCTCTGAATTGGCTTCTATACTCAGAATATTCCCTACTACACCATGAGATGTAAAAAGGAAATTATACCATGTTTGACAGCACTCTCCCTTTGTAGTTTCACTTTCATGAAAGTTCATTTTGCCCTGAAAACCATTGTCAAATTGCTGACATTTTGATATTATGTCAACCCAATCTATGTACCCTTGCCAAAATGAGCTCTCATGTTCTTTCTTTTCTTTTACCTTATTTTTTTTCCCTATTCCTGTCATGTAGGTGTCTCGTTAGAACTCACTTTATTCTACATGCATAGGGCATCAGGGGATCTTAAACCCTTTCAAGGCTGAATTAAGAAAACAAATAACTGACATTTTTTTCACTGCTTTTTCTATTGAACAGGCCTAGCTAAAGATAGAGCTCGCAGAAAATTTCAAATATTTACTCATATATTCAAAAACTGAATTTTTTAATTACAAGAATCATCAATTAAAAATATTGAATAACAGGCCAATGTTCACACATGGGGAGCCCCTAAAACTTGGCCTTTGTCTTAATTATATCCATTCATTCCTGCAGCATGCAGGCATATTTTTCCATTTTCCAAAAACGAAGAAAAAAAAAGTTATTTTTCAGTCAAAATTCCATTTCACAAAAAATAAAAAATATCAGGTCACAACTTTTCTTTTTGATCCAGCTTGCCTGAATTACAACCTATTTGAACAAATGATGTGTCACTAAAGAGCCCTTTTCGAGAGTTATTAAGTGGGACCAAATAAAACGTTTTGTTCAATGGTAACGGCAAGAGCAGTTTCAAAAGATATGATCCTTATAATAATCATACGCCATGAAAAGGTTAAGGCATTGAGGATTAAGGATTGAATTAACTTTAAATAAATTAAAAGTGACTTGGTGTCTGTAAGCCTTGTCCTTAGTGGATGTTTTTCTTTGCTGCAGCAAGGTCAAGGTCTGTCCAAGAGGCTGAAAAAGTTAATCATTTGCATTCAGAATGAGTGATGAGGAGGATTTGGAGATGTTGAGAATGGCTGCATTGAAATCCATGCAAGAGAGAAGGAAGAAACCTGAACGAAGACATCTTCCTGTCAAGGTAACCAAGGTTGGACTCTTTTCTTAAATTGAATAAGCTATGCTACAAATAGGCTAATTGCAATCTTAAAATACCAGGTCATGGTACACTTGAAATATTCCATTTACCTTTATCTACAGAGAGCTTAGGTCTGCCATTTTTTTGAGTCCAGCTTGTGCCTATCAATAATAACCACAGAGAGATGAATTAATTGATATTTCTTGAAACATGAGATTGCATGTAAATGATGGTAAGTTAATGTGCAGGAGGCCTAAAGCAAATCTATGACTCAAATATTTTTTTTTTTTTTTCATTCATGTGTGAGTCTTTTATGTATTTCTCTTATATCACCTTGAGTCAGGGGTGTTCTATGAACTCTGTAATGAAGTAATACCCTTATGCACTTCATTATACTTTCATTACCCTTTATGGACATCCTGCAGCACTACCATCGGTCAGATCCGAGGAGATCAAATCTTATTTGTATCATCCCTGTGGAGGAGAAACAAGAAGTGAAAGATGAAGTGCAAAAATCTGCACAGAAGTTTTCCTGGTCAGGTGATTTAGGAGGAAGCACTGCACACTGTACAGGTCAAGCTAAAAAAGAAGAATCCAAAGGTGGGCGGTACTTCACTGATGAATTGTTTTCCCATGAATGAATGACCTTATGTCATTTCATATGTATATTAATTCTTATGTTGTTCCTATTCATGCCAGTATTCACAAAATTTGACCGCTTCAGAGAAGATAGTGAAAGTTCAGAGGAGGAAGATGATGAGAGTACATCATCAAATTCTGATGCCAGTCCTAGTGAAGAAGAAACTAATGGTGAAAGTGTTAAACAGAAACTTATCATGCAAGACACCATCCAAAGAGATCCAGTTAGTGAGAGTGAAGAAAGGGATAGAGTGTGCCTCCATCATGCTGAAGGCAAGAATGTAGAAGGGAAAGAGAGAGACAGAGCCGTAAAATTGGAACAAGATGAGTTTGATGCCTTCTTGGAAGAAGTGGAACGTGAGCTCCAAGATGAGACCCTGCTGGGATCATCTGGAAAGCTAGTCAAAACTGAGGACTTGCCAAAACCATCATTGCAGAATGAAGAATGTTTAGGGAAGAAGAAGAAGAAGAAGAAAGAGAAGAAAATGAAGAAAAGGAAGAAGGAGCAGGAGCGATGCAAGTTACCTGAAGGGGAACACCAATTTGGCGAGGTGAAGGTGGCATCAAGGAAGCATAAAAGAAACAGAGGATCAGAGAACCAGTGTGTCATTAAGGAAACTGCCTCCCATTCTCTCCCAAGAAGTTCTCACAATTCATCTCCTTGCTGCATTTCAAGACAATTCTCGGGATGCAGGTATGCTACTCAAGGTTCTGGAGAGGAATGTTATTGACAGTGGTTTTCTTATTCTTATTAATTCTCAATTGTTAAATTGTAGGACCCCAAGCCTGAGTCCATCACCTGTCTGTGATACATGGAGTTCCAGTCGCAAGACTTCACCATTGAAGATGTCTTATGATTCTCGAATGGACCGTGGGACTGTTAGTCTTCAGAACAGTCCCAATGCTTGTCGACATCATTCCCGATCTCGGAGTCCCCTGGGTGTTTCACGTCGTGCATCAGAAAGTCCAATTGCGCACTCAAGGAGGCGCTGCAGTGCAGAAAAAGAAACTCAAGTACGACCTCTCCCCCGTTCAACTGCTTGTGATGAAAGTGATAAAGGAAAGTCAACTGCAAAGGAACAAGAACTTTTAGAAGCTCGAAAGAAGAAGTTCCTCACAGTTGAACCCATTTGTTCAAGTCATGGAAAAATCAACCTGAAGAGATTGAAGGAAACAATCTCAGGTCTTGGGGAGAATCCACAAAAAGGAAATGATGACTCTGAGAACCAACTGCAAGAGAAGATAATTGTCCCAAAAACTGACAAAAAGGAAGACCGACAGGATCACAAAGGTGAGTCACACATTGATGATTATCTGGAAGTAAGAGATGATATTTTGTCAGCATTACACCATGTGTGTTCTGTGTATCATTGTCAGATGTTGATCTGAGGGCACTGCTTGACAAACGGAGGCTTGGAGGTCAAGTAGAAATTGTCAGTCCTGAGAAGGAGGAAATGAAGAAACAGAGCAATGTCACTATACATCAGATGTGAGTGTCGAGAATTCGTACTTGGTTGTAGGCTTTTGCTACATGAACATTATTTATCTTGATTCTCTACTCTGTTTTCAAATCTCTTAATGACTGCTCTTCCTCTTCAAGGAGTGTCAGGCTGAAAAAAGAAAACAAGTTGTCACCACAGAGGAGCAAAGTAGAAGACACCACAGCAAGTGAGCCTTACCCTTGCAAATATAACATCCCAAATGACATAGCTGTATATAGGAGCTGTTATAAGCTTCAATGTGTGTTGGCTAGGTTTGGGAGTGCAAGAAAGGAGTGAACCACGATCTTCGAGACGTGTGATTGTGGTCAAGCGACCAAGTGATGAACCCAGTCAGGAATACTTAACTTCAAAGAAGGCAAAGATGAGTAATAGTGAGTCAATGCTCTTTATCTATCAGTATTCCCCATCATATTTGGATCTATTACAGTGCAATGATCATTGATTCCTATGTTTCTCATAGAAGGGAAGGAGAAGAAGAAAAGGATACATTCTCGCATTGGAATCCCTCATTTGCACGAGAGATTGAAAGTCATGATGCACAGCGATGATGACAACAGTGATGACATGGGCAACCAGGAGAAGCAACAGAGGCAACAAGTGCCAACGTTTGTGTCGGGTAAGCGAGTGAGGAATCCACATCCCTTCTCTTTCCCCATCTTGTTTGCATGGTGGATCTTGGTGTCACTGATCTCTGTTCCCCCATTTCAGCCTCTCAGGAAACCATACTACTATTTTCCTCTTCAAATGAGTATGCTTTCTGAATGAATTTTAGTCATTGGATGTAGATTTACAGAAAAGAGTGGAAGACAAACACAAAGAAACCTGACATAAAAAACAACAAAAAAAGAGGCAATATGTGGAATTTTGTAAAATTAGAATTGTGTGAAGAAAAACATTTTAAATCATGGAGTGGTAATCTTAAGACCATCACAATGGTGCTAAAGTATCATAGAGTGATATGAATTTTTACCTCATGATTCATCAGTGATATCTCTTATTGTACAATTGCTGAATATTGCATTAAATTGAGGTTGCCTTTTTTATGAGGCAACTGACTGAGAATATCATGCTGGTTTGTGTTTGAAGGAAGACTGTGGGTCATAATTTGAGAAATCCTGTCATCTTTTGGAGGTTGATGTGTATTGGAGTATTGTGGAAAAGAAATGGGAGTTTGATCCCTTGTCTCTCCGAAGTGCTAACCCATGTTTCTCTCTTTCTCCTCTGCTTGTGTTATTCAGGATCTGAGCTGGAAGAAAAAATGCGAAAAATGAGGGACAAAAATGCTGCCATTTTAAAGCGAAAGAGAGAGGTAGAAGCAGACAAGGAATTATATGGTTAGGGAGTGTTTTTTTTGTACCCTTATGCTGTGATGGCTCGGCTTGTGTGGGGGTGTTAGTGGCATATTTTCACATCTCAATTTTCCCTTCCCAGTTGATGCCACCCTCCACCCAGGCTTAGTCACAACCCTCCAAGGTGAGGAAGAGAGGAGAAAACCACTGTATATACAGTAATTGAAAATAATTTGGTGGGAGATGAGATCCTGCTGTGATTCCCCTTTTGGCTGTGACTGTGGTGAAGCTTCAGATTCCTCATGTTGTGTCTACCCTCTCTAGACATCATCACACATCCCTCATGCAGACAGACTCTTGTGTCTCTCACATCATGTGTCCATCATTGTTTGTTGTGCAGAATTCACATGGGTGCAAATACATAGCCTGCAATTTGTCCTCTTTTGCTGACCTTTTTTGTTGTTTTGCTCAGGTTGTATGGATGATAATGTTAGGAGGAGAGAAATAAAATTTATTTTCTTATTTCATTTTGTTCTTGAATTTATTGCATTGAATTAGATATTATTCTTAATCATGATTACAAAAAAATATTCATGAATAAGCAGATGGATTCTGAATGATTCAGTATTCTTGGGAAATTAAATTCCCATTTAAAACTGAGTTGCAACAACTTCCTTCTTTGGCTGCTGTCTAATTTGATTGTAGATTTATAAGTATTGTCAAAATCAACCATAGATGGATCAAGGAAACTATCCCAATAATAATATTTCTCAAAATTAGTAGTTTTGGTATTTTGAAGCCCACATCTTAAAATGGTGAGCATTTCACTTCCTATCCTTCATCTTCAACTTGCTTTCTTCTTATATCCTCTGTATAATGCAAACTTTCTCTCCTTATTACAATTGAATGCACCGAAGGCAAAGGTGAAATGCAAACAGAAGTTCGCACAAATGAAGCGCATGATCAACCCCCGAGATTCTCGGATCAAAGAAAAGGAGAGAAAGGCACCCAAAAAGAAACCTCCAGACCCTCATGAGCTCCATATCAATCATGTGTAAGCTCTTGCTGCCCTTCTCTGTCTTTTATAACTCTTTACTCCTTCTTCCAGACTTTTCTTTCTGTGTATTGTTCATGCTGGGGTATGGTTTTCTATAGGCCACAGATGTGTTCTGCCTTGTTCTTTGAGTATAACACTCAACTTGGGCCTCCATATCACATCCTGGTTGACACGAACTTTGTCAACTTCTCCATTAAGAACAAGTTAGATATTGTTCAGTCCATGATGGACTGCCTCTATGCCAAATGTGAGTCATATTCTAGCTTCCTTCAGTGAGACAGTATGTTATCATACCTCCTTTGAAGTTGATAGATCTTAATGTTCATTTTCCCCCTCATTAAAGTGCATCAAATGAGAATGCAAAGAGCATTCATAATGTGGTAACACAAGATGGATTGTCAGCAGGTGTGTCATATTGCTCAGTGATCTTTTGTTGCAGGCATTCCATACATCACAGACTGTGTTCTGGGAGAACTGGAGAAACTTGGACGGAAGTATCGGGTGGCATTGAAGATAGTCAAGGATCCACGTTTCCAAAGACTTCCCTGCCTTCACAAGGGGACTTATGCTGATGACTGCCTTGTTCAACGTGTCACACAGGTCTGTCCCCATTCCCCAGCTGTGTTCCTCTCCACATTGTCTTCCTTCACCCTTCCCTCCTTTGCCTCTATCAGCACAAGTGCTACATTGTGGCCACATGTGACAAGGACCTGAGAAGGAGGATCCGCAAGATCCCTGGTGTTCCCATTATGTATCTCTCACAGCACAGGTATCCATTTAGTATAGTGTCTGGTCTTTAAATGTATGCTAAGATTTTGATGTGTCCAGGTGTTTAAAATGCTAGAGGGATTCTATTAAAGTCTGAAAAAGAGCTGACAGAAGAGAACAAAATTCTCAGCCAAACTTGGTCTTCACATGCCTAGAATATTTCATGTGGTGAGCTTTTGCTTGTTATTGAGAATAAGAGCAGGAAAATTTATTCCAGTGTTTCCTCATGCTCAGTGGTAGTTTCAGTTGAAGGGCTGAAAGTTAAAGTAGTTTATCTGCAAAAAATATAAACTATAATTGGTTCAGTGCTCACAGAACCAAGCTGATTGTAAGGCTTCATTCAAATTATAGCCCAGGAATTCTTTTTCTTCTTGTAATCTCTAGTGGGTCACTTTCTCCTGCTATATTATTTCCCTTTTATTTTTCATGTGATATAATGGGGAGTGGGGAACAAGTTTCCAGGTAATCCCTGATTTTCACTGCATAATATAAAGGGAAATGAACTCATGACTATTGAAGGTCATGCTTTTTCACCAGCTGTCCTGTTCAGTTTGCAACTCAAACTGTTGAATGGCATTCCTAGCTCCCATGCAAAGGAGTAGCAACTGTTTTTGTTATAAATGTCAGAATCAGAGCAAAGCTTGATACCACAATTGATAGAAAACTTAATGGAAAATAGTCCCCCTGTTTGTCTTTATGATGAACAATCGTGTCTTATTGATTCCCACAGCATCCAAATGGAAATATACCAAATTTTACCTTTTTTTCTGAGGGGACCCATTATTTCCTCTCCTTCTTTATCACTATTTAGGTACACAATCGAGAGGATGCCAGACGCATATGGAGCGCCCAAGAGTTGACTCAAGGGGAGAGGAGAGACACTACAATTTCTGCAAGAATTAATGTTCATACTGTTGAAGAATACAACTCATGGAATGTCCTTGAAGCCTTTCTTCTTTTTATTGTTCCCTTGTGAAGCATTTGCTTGTGGTCCTTATAAAATGAAGGAGCACTGGGAATGTTCAACCCACTCATACCTCTTTGAGCATGTTTGTCTTGAAAGACCCATGTTATGATTGTTCAGTATGAAAAATCAGCAGGTGCCAAAATATGATGGGTCACACAACCACACAGGAATTGTGCAATCCTCCTTGTGATGAGTTTCGCAGGGCATTTCGATACTACAAACAGCGTCGCAACCTGCCATCTTTGTCTAATGTCCTGGACATCCATGCCATGAATGAACCTGCTTGTGTAAGTCCATTCAAAACACTTTGCAGGTCATAAAAATTTGGGAAATTAAAAAAATGCCCTCAAGTCTGAGGCTCAAAAAGTGGCTCTTTCTCATTACTTGTAGAATGAGACAGAAAAAGTTGAGAAAATCTCATCTCCAGTTGGGGAACAGAAGTCAACTCTGAATCTGGAGTACCTGATTCCTTGCAAAGAGTGGGAAGTCTTCACATTCATACAGCGACCAGGTAGAATTCAACAGAAATTCTTTGGCAAAAAGTGCATACAGCACTAAATCAGAAGCCCATAGGTTTTTCTCATTGCAGTTTTTGAAATGAGGAAAGAATGAGTTTCAATGAGTTTATATTTCTGCATTGCCGATGGTAGGGAAAAAAATTACTGAGTTTCTTCCAGATATACTGTATATTACCCTACTGATTATGACTGAAGGTCAAGAATAAGATAGGATATTCATGGGAATGCAAACAGAGCAGAAAGATATAGGGATTGGGAGTAAAGTAAGAGGAATGTTAGGAGGAGACTCTTGAAAAAGCAAAGGCTCCAGGATGGCTGACGTGGGTTTATGCTTAACTGACTTCATTTTTTTTACCTTGCAATACGTATTTAAATAAATGTTACCTTGCATAACTTTATATGTATCATTAAGTTTCATTTAAACATTTAGGCCAGAATATTGGAACATCTTTTATTTAACACATTTGTTGCCATATACAGCTATAGCCATTTTCACGAATCTGTTTCACCAGGGCCATACACAACTATTAGCCATTTTCATGCCATCTTCCTAATAGTTACTTATTTCTTCAAGAGATGTTATTCAAATATCTCCTAACCTACAAGGGTTGCATACAAGATACCACACCCTTCAACATTACTGAAGGTATATTAACAATTTTCTTTCATTTAAATCCCTGGCTGCAAATGTGTTAATGATCCTTGACAGATCTATGGACTCCCATGGAGAAAATTTGCTCTTTTGTTTAAAGGCCCTTTCATCTTACCTTCATAAGGTTTCATTATTTGAGACATTTCTAGCAGTGATCCAGGATGGTACTTAGAGATACATTGCAGTCTGGGCAGTAATACCATGATTACCTCCTCTTTTGTTTACTACATTACTTTAACACATTTTGCATATATTTGTTAGTGTGATCTTTATTACTGGAAAAGGATTAATTGCAGATTAGGGTGTCTTTCTACAAGTTGAAGGAGATTTAGATGTAATCATCGATTTCTGCGCTGTTAGGTACTACTGCTAATTCCTGTGCTTTAAATTCAACTTGAAAACATGCTTTCTTTGACTGTAATAACAGAATCCATCTTGACTGTACCCTTGGTGCTTTTTGTTTAATTCAAAATTAATTTAATCCCCTCGGCTGAAAACATTTTAAAAATCCTAAATATACTTGGGCTCCCTGGTAGATACATTTCAGAGATGCATTCATTTCATTTCTCTTTAACACCATAGGGCTTGTGTATGTAAAGAATCCATTCACCAAGGAAGGTCAGCACTATTGGTGTCGACGATGTCTGAGGGATTTCACACTCCAACCTCCATATTTGACCAACATGGGGAAGTGTGGTTCGTGGTGGGAGGCATATAAAAACTCTGGTTGGAATCGCCATATGAAGGAAAGACTGCGATGGGCAACCCTTGGGTATCATCATGATTGGAACACCAAGGTCTCACTGAGTCTCATTCTTCTCTCTGTTGTATATTTTTGTTATGATGTGATATGACATTTTTGTGCCTCTGGTATTCCATGATGGATGTAGGTGTACACAGAAGAAGGCAAAAGCGAATTCCCTGAGGACCTAGGAATCCTATGCCATAAGTTAGGGGTACACTTGCAAGTAGGAGATTTCACAGCTCAAGCAGCCATAGTCAACTTCTACCACCCAGGGTCCACATTAGCACCACACACTGATCACTCAGAAATGGACCTCTCCAGTCCTCTCTTCTCATTCAGGTATCTATCTCTGAATTGCATCTTCATCATGTATTGACTATAAGACAGTCATAACTCCATTTGTTTGACTTTTCAATCTTTATCTCTTTCATTGCTAGCTTTGGCCAGAGAGCTGTGTTCTTGATTGGAGGGGCAACGAGGGACATTACTCCATTGGCCTTACTCCTTCATAGTGGGGATATCCTGGTGATGTCTGGGGAATCACGCCTTTCTTATCATGCCATTCCTCGGTACAGTAAATCACTTGTTACTCATCTCTTTTCAGTATTATACATTAGTACATAATTCCCATGTGGATTCTGACCTGTATCAGTAGCATTTGCCTCCATCCCTTATAGGATTGCCAAAGGTCTTTTGTTTTTGACTGCTTGCAAGAACCTCCTCAGTACCAATACTACGACCCAAGTATAACAAACTTCTTCACCTGCCTCATTTTTCTTGTACCTTTCAGAAGATTGTCCAAAACATCATCTGAAACTCTCCACTGAATTTCCTCTCACCTTTCCTTTTTCTTGGACAATTGATGTAACTCTGGCCCAGGTGTTTTTACATTAATTTCTGCTATAAACATGTATACTTTTTTTTTTTATTCAAAGAGAGAATGTCAGTGGTTAGAGAATTGAAATTGAATAACATATATGAAGCCATTATTGCATTTTATATCAGTGGAACAAGTATGATGGCAGTCTTGATATGAATAGAAGGCTGTCTATTCTGTCAAAACAAGATTTCAGCTATGTGCTCATTTCCCATCATATATCAAACAAGAGTCACCACAGACCATGAGAAAGAGATACCATGTCTTTTCATATAAAAACAGCAAAGAAGAGATGAAAAATTCATAGGGAAGACATTTTATCCTTTATGTTCCTCCTTTCAAGAACAATAGAGTGAACACTCATGATGTGGGGAATGGCTGTCGCCATAACACTTCTAAGGTTGGTGATTGAAAAGAGAGAGGGGGTTTTAAGAATGGGAGATTCTTTGGTTTTGGTCATGCCTTATAATTTATGTAAGTAAATCATAAGGCATCATAAGCTACAAAGATGGTCATATACAATTGAAATGTATATTCTTTTGAAAAGGCAGCTGCTTGGGGAGGGTTGCCTCTTGCAGAGATCTTCCAAAACAACTATTGAGCATCAGTGATGAAGTGACTTTCAAAAGTAGAGCAAAAATATCATGCATTTATTCCAAAGCTCATGTCATAATATTCACTGAAAGAAACAGGAACCAAAAGTGAAAATTTAAACAAGCTGGGCAAGAAGTGGGTCTTTCACCACAGAGGTGCTTCTTTTTATTTAATTTGAAAAAATTTAGCCACTTCCTGAACTTCCACAATTTTTTCTGAATTGGACCTTTTAAGTTCAGGAAGGCTTAGATTAACCAATGGACATGATGGGGAGAAGAGGTTCCTTCAGCATCCAGATAGCCTCAAGGGTATTGGCATGGAAGCAGAAGGTCTTGCTATTCACGTATAGCTCAATGGCTACACTGAAGATAAATGCAAATGTTAAACTGTGATACAAGAACATAATTCTTGCATAAACTTAAAAAAAAATTATTCCTTGTTGATAGAGGTTTGCATTCCAATATTTAGTGTTCAAGACTGTATTTTTGGTAATACCAAAGAGAAGTAACATATACATGCTCATTAGCAGAATTGAACCTGTAAATGGGCCCCATGGTCTCCTGCAATGAAGCTCATTAAAAAGTACTTTATCTCTGGACTTGGGTGCAGGATCTTGGTTGGAAATGGAAAGAAAGAAGAGGATGCATGGGGAGGATGTGAGGGAGAAGACTGGAGGGAATTTAGAGACTTCCTGAGATCAAGTCGCATCAACATGAATGTTAGGCAGGTCCTTCCTCCTCAGACAACACATCTTAGTCCCACTCTCATGCATCATTGATCTTCAGCTTCCCATGATTCTGGGTGAGGTAGAGCATATCACTCAGGGCCTGCTGAACTGTTGACTCCTCAGCCCGATTGCTCATCTGTAGCATCAAGAAGCCACCAATTGTTGTATGACTTGTGATTTTCAACTGTGATATAAAAGAGACTTTACCAGAAAGTACCTGCATGATCATTCTTTTCACAAGAACAGCATGGAATTGAAATATTTGTACTGAGTAACAGTGACCTAAATACCAAATGGCCATGAGAAGATGGCCATATGAGAGAAATGAAAAGGATTGCTACAGTTCTCAACTTATTCCTTTTTTTTTTATCTGTGTAAGATAATGTACAGCACTTTTCACCTGACCCGACACCCATGCATGGAAAGTTTCCCATTTCCCAGGTGCTCTGGTCAAGTGAAAAACATTTTATGAGGGCCACTTTGTTCATATTTTATGCATTGCACATTTGATGACATGTTTCTGTATTGTGCAAACAAACTAACTCAAGCCACAAAATGCAGAAGATTTAAATCCATTCATACTGAGGAACTGGAATGAGAGAAAGAGAGACTCACAGGTTGAAAGGAGACCTCCTGAGGAGGATGCTTGAACTCTGGTCCAAAATTGACTGTCACAGTGGCATTTTTATAGATGGAGATGGCTGGATAGTAAGATCCCTCATATATGTCAGTGAATGCAAGACCTTGGTTCACCCCATTCTTGAAGAAGGTGATCTTGCCTCCAAGGAGAGGAGTTAAGATCTTGAGTGACTCCTGAACATTCTCCTTTTCTTCATAGTATAGATGGTTTTTCACACGTACAAGGGGCTTGTCCTTGTGAGTGGGAGGGAGATATACAGAAGGATCTCGAGTCTGTGGGAGATGAATCAGGAACCCAAGGATGTCCCCCACCCCAAATCCTTGTCCATTTGCATAGTGCTTCCCATGGGCCTCATGGAACTTTGTCCCTTTCCTGCATGGCCTTACTCTGTTCATGAGTCTGGCTCACAAAACCAGGTTCACAGAAAAAAAAGGACTCACCTTGAGCGCCAGGAGTAGCCAAAGCGATCAAAGCCCAATGGTGCTTGCAGATTGGCATGTGCCTGTGCCCAGCCAATGCGTGTGGCTGAGTTCTCTGGCATGTTCGTGACTACTGCTTCCCAATACCATGTCCCACAGTTCACATCTGCAAATATAATTTATTCCTTTCTGATATTGATATTCTAGGCCAGCCTACATTACTTAAGACAATGGAAAGGATATTCAGAAAAAAAACCTCAGTGGCTTAATAGTGTCATTTCTCAGGTATTTATTCTAGCATATCTACAGGGTGTCCCATAAGTCACTGCACCATATCAAAAATTCACATTACTAAACAGTTGGCACAAAAAAGAAGTAACATTAACTGAGTGATAGCATGTCATTTGGAATTATCTTTGTCAAAAATGGAGGTATTTCTGAAGTTTGAAAGTCTCTCAAAATGCCCTCCACCTATATCAATACATTTGACATGAAGCTCACCACCAAAATATTGCAGAAACTCCCTTTGGACTCTGATGGGACTCTCAAAGACCTCCCTTTAGGTAGCAACATTCCTTCATTTTTCAAGCATCAATTGTGATGCCTTCTCTCATGACAGTGAAAGCATATTAAAGGATTTTATGTATTTTTTCTGTCTGGAATTAGGAGAGAACATGAAGTTTATGAATTTTTGTGAAAGAGGATTCAACATGGTGTACCATAAATCACCCTAAAGACATACACCTTTCTGATGTGCTTTTGAAGTAATTTATGTTTGAGTCTGATTCCAAGTTATAATTGTGAAAAAAATTCTAAAGAATGTTCTTTCTATCAATGCTTAGAAAAGTGACCTGGTTGTTGCAGTTTGAAATGGTATGTTGACTTATGGGACACCCTGTATACAGGGTGCGTAAGAAGTTCTGTTACAAACTTTGGACTCACATAGAATGTCTCCCAGGTAGAATCTTTTATAAGCCTATGGGCGTGTGACTTGTATGGACATGTAGCTTAAAGTTGCAGATGAAGCAATGGTCTCATCAGTTCCTATCATTTTTTGTGCCAAAATGAATGCACAACGTGCAGCCATCATTGAGCTTCATCTCAGCGGAAAAACACCACCAGAGATATTCAAAGACCTCTCAGGCCAAGGCACGAATCGTATGTTCATTCATCGCACCATTAAACGATATCAGCAGACCCACTCTATCCAGGATCGTGAGAGAAGTGGACGCCCAAGGTCTGCTACGGCTCCAGAGATGGTGAAAAAGGTGGCTCTCCGAATTCAACGGAACCCCAGGCGTTCCATGAGGAAGATGGCCAGGGAAATGCACATATCAGAGGGATCCATGAGAACTATTGTCAAGAAACATCTTCATCTGAAATCTCTCAAACGCAAGCATGCGCAACTGCTGCCACCTCGCACAAGGCAGTTGCGACTTCAACGAAGCAAGGCCCTGCTGCAGCGGTTCACGGCTGATGATGTGGACAAAATCCTGTTTTCAGATGAAAAATTGTTCACCATCCAGGCCGTCTCCAATTGACAAAATGATCGGATTCTCGCACCACGGATCTCAGATGTCTCGGGCGATATGCTAATCGTGCCTCATTCACAACACCCCCAGTCTGTTATGGTTTGGGCAGGTGTGTCTGCCAACAGTCGCACCAATCTGGTTTTCGTTCCTGAAGGGGTCAAGATAAACAGTACAATGTACAAAGATCTCATTCTAGACCCAGTAGTGAAACATGCGGGTCAAACCATGTTCAGCAACCAGGCTTGTACATTTCAGCAAGACGGTGCGCCAGCACACACTTCCAACATTTCCCAAGCATGGCTTCATCATGAAATTTCGGACTTCATTACGAAGGACCAATGGCCTCCCAGCTCCCCTGACCTGAACCCTCTGGATTTTTCTATTTGGTCCATTTTGGAGACAAGAGTTGGGGCTAGTGCCCACCGCAACATCGAAGCCCTTAAGAAGTCTTTGGTCCGAGAATGGAAGAATATTCCACAGCATCAGCTGCGTGCTGCAGTACGCGCTTTCCACCCTCGATTGAAGGCTTGCATTTCCAAACGTGGCAGACATTTCGAGTAGCTATGGTTCCTAACATTGACTGACACTTTGTACTAAATAAATTATCACTTGAAGTTGTCGTTCTTGTTGCTTTGGTTGTTTTTGGCAAAGAAACGTTTGTAACAGAACTTCTTACGCACCCTGTACATCTGCAAAGAATACATAAATAGGTGCTAGTTGGTTCAGAGCAAACAATTCAGCATGCCCATTGCCACAAGTACTGCATTGTTCAAGTTGACCTTCAATCCCTCTCTAAACATACAAGCTTTCTGCTGTGATACAGGAAATAGCATCTGTAATCCTTCATCTCAAGTTAGCCACAAGGTACCTCATGAGTGATCCATGCCTGCCAAGCCATTTAAATTGGCAGATGGATAAGTCACACCTTTTTCTTATGACTTGATTTATTTAGCAGGAAATTGTAAAAAAAAAACACTAATGCACAACTTGCATAACACAAAAGCAAAGATTTATGTCAAGCAACTTCATGATGGAGCAACTTATGAATTTTGAGGAAAATTGACTCAACAGTGCTGTACTTATGGCAGCAGGCATTTTGAAATGTCTGAATAACCATAAACTCTCAAAATCCATCTGGGTATTGCCTGAGGTTGTGTGGATATATTGTATGATATATCAAATATCTGAGTTGTGACACTTTGAAACTCCCAAGGTTTTTCCTGGATACCCTGAGCAGAGTGAATAATGAAAAACAAGGAGTGAAGGTCTTACAATGGTTGGCACGTATCATACAGTATCCTTTATCCCCTGTTACAGAGAGCCTCCCTTCACCCATCTTCAACTGTGGGGCTCGATCATGGAGGGCAAGAAGAACAATTGGAGGAGTGAGAACACGATACTGCCAGGAAGGAATAGGCTTTCCAATTGATTCTGCACTCTCGTCAAACTCCTGCCGAAATGGAGCGTGAGGATCAGGCTCGGCAAGGAGATACCGATACCCATCCTTGTTAAAGGGATGCTCAAGAGGATATCCATGGACAGAGCCACTGCGGAAGGAAATCTCTCCACCCAATCCCCTTTGCTTCTTGCCTCCTCCACTTCCACTTCCACCTCCACCAGCACTTCCTCCACTTCCACTTCCACCTCCTCCATCTGCTTTCCTCTTTGCTCCTCCCCTTCTCTGGCCTCCTTGCACTAGATCCCATGGAGATAATATATTAGGGGTACCAGAAACTAATGTCGTTCATTGGTAGGCCAAATGTAAACGTTATTTATGGTGTATTTTCATTTGTTTTCAAATTAATTTCATTTATTAATCTAAAGAACATTTGTGATAAATTTTTTCTTTTTTTTTCAGCAAAAATGTCTGACCACATTCCCAAAGAGATCCATATACAGTGAAAACTCGTTAACTCGAACTTTTAGGGACCGGGCAAATCGTTTCGAGTTATCCGAAGTTCGAGTTATCAGGAATCGCCC